GATATGGAAGATGATAGCAGTACATGCGCTTCAGAATCGGATACAGAATCTTGTCACAATATACATTTGTTTGAAGAATCATGCAACAATGACATTGGGGTGACATGGGGGTGCTTTGCAAGTTTTGCTCAGGAACATGGGACAATGACATCCACTGAGAGCAGTACTGATGCTGTTGGCCCTTTGGATGTTGCAAAGTCAAGGCTGATACTTGATCAGCATATCAGGTGAAGTTGAACCCACAAGCTTCCATAGCCATTGAACTTTTGGTAACCCAGCTAAGGCATCAATGCCATCGTCCAAAGCCACAGCTGACTCCAAAGCAGGTGAACCACGTCCATAACTTTGGTGCCGATATGATACGCAAGTTGAAGATGCAGGACTTCTTTCACAAAATTCAGGGACAGATTGGCTACATGAGTGATTGCATCATGCTTCAATGGCACTTTTATTTTTTTTATTTTGTGTTGCACACACAAACACAATAACAAACATTTATTGATTGACATGTTTACCCAGGCTCTGGAGGAGAAGGAGCTCTTTATGGCTTGAAGGAGATCTTCCCACTGATCAACCACTTGTCTTCGTGTGATCATGCAGTGGGTCCACTAAAGTGGATCGTCAAGAACTGCAAACCAGGTCAGTCCCTTGATAGCAACAAACTTCTTGGGGAGTGTGTTTTTCATGTCCAAGAATGTCCAGAATTCATCTACTGCAAGCATGAAATCCAAGGATCTTTGAGGATATGAATGAGCGTGACATCAGTGGATTGGTGGGCAAGGTCCATGCATATTCCTGCGGATTCCCATGCAAGCCGCCTCTCAACTGCAAACTGCACTGTTCTTTTTGTGGGGTGGACTCATTTCTTTGCTTGCTCATCAGGCATTCGCTATTGAACAACCAGCGTCCAGGGATGAAAGGGAAGGAATCTGGTATCTTCTTTCGCAGCTTGGAAACAATAGCACAGGTGGAACCTGCTGTGGGCGTATTAGAGAACGTCCTGGGCATCCGAGCCTTAGCCTATATTGAGTTTGTTTGAATTGAAGGTAGGTAGCAGTGCTCCACTTCCTCCACCACCCTGTGGCAGGAAAGTGCTGGGCTACAGTCACAGAAGCATTGAACCGGCTGGAGTCATATTTGTGGGCATACATCACCATTGACCCTCGATCTCTTGGAGGACGCTTGGATGTGTTTGTTTTTTTGGGGGTCCAGAGTCAGTGACAGATTGAATACAAGGTATGCAGCAAAGGCGGCGTATCTACATCCTCCTGGTCCACAAAAAATGCAAGGCCGAGGTGCTCAAGACAAGCTATGATTTCCAGGCATACATTGACCAAAAGTTCAAAGCGCTGGACGATGCTTACAAGCCAGATCCAAAGACCTTGCTCTTCCCAGAGCATTCCAAGGAGGTCCAGTTTGACCGAGCAAGGCGTGGACAGGCAGCCAAAAGGTCCGCGGTGATTACAAGGTGACTTGGATTGAAACAGTTCATGCAGTCCTGCTTTGTGCGATCATTGTTGGCTGTTCTGCTGTGCTCCTACATCTCAGGAGTGAGAAGCAGAAGAAGTGGGTCAAAGTTCACAAGAGCTTCATGAAGAAAAACGAGGACTCTCACTTTGTCTTTTCGAAGGCAGCTGCACAGCTTGACACACGCCAGGTGAAGATGAAGGATGTGAAACCATGGGAGGAGCTTGAGGAATTTATTGGAAGCCCACGCCAACAACATGTCTCTTTTCGATTATTCAGTGCAAACATGTGCAAAGCTCTTGTTGGGGTTTCTCTCCAAAGCCTTCTCTGGTCCAAGCCAAGGCTTTGGAGATTCTTCGCCATTTGGAAGTGACCGGATTCGTAAACACATCCCAATCGCTGGGAAGGATGGGGCACAGCTTTGCAATTCCATGCGTCACCCCCAACGGTTCCTTCTTCTTGATGGAGAAGCAGCGCTTCCTGACAGGACTGGTTTCAATGCTTAACATGTTCAGAACACTTCTTTCAGTTTTGCTGAAGGCTATCGTTTGCAAGGAGTAGAGAAGCTCTTGGCCCAATCGTTCCCTGTGGATGAGCTGGAGATTTCTCACCTTACAAATTCAGATACTCTTTTGCGCATGTCACAGTGTGACATGAAAAGTGTGACATTTGACAGCCTTTACTTTGTGCCATGCTAAGGAGATTGAAAGCATTGCTGGCAATGCTATGTCGGTTCGGGCGGTAGCCGCAGCTTGGGCTTTGGTTTTTGCAGGAGTGGACATCACTTCATTCAATTCAATGGTGAGCAACAGCTAGATTCTCACCAAACAGCAATGGAGCGTGGGGACCTATGATGTCAAAAGCAGCGTTTAATTTGTACCATTGCAAATCATTGCAGCCAATTGCAACAACAGTGGGATGGTGTCATCCACTTGTCTAAATGCTTTGTGCTTGTTCTTTGGATCTTGCATACATTATTTGTTGAATTTTGTTGATACTGTAGTGAAAACAGCCTCTGCTTTTGAGCCTTGATCTAGCCATGCTTCAGCGGTACACTGCATCAAGCAGATCCTCCACATCGGCCAGCAGTTTCGAATCATCCAGTTCCAGTGGCGAGGAAGGAAATGATGAATCTTGCCTGCAAGGTACACGACCAGTTCTCAAAGATCTGTCTTGGAATATGATTCAGACTATGGATCATGATGCACGGACGCCAAACAAATATGAGTCCAATGGAATGGATGAAGGCAGGATTAAGGATGCTTTGAACAGGCCATGTTGCACTAGGAGATGCAAAAACGGGATCACGCTGAAGATGTGCTTGACTCTTTGCATCAGCTTTTGGTCGGTCTCCAAAGCAGCTCAAGATCGATTGTTCCTTGCATTTGTTAGTCTTGCACCTGTGTCAGAAATCTCTCATCAAGTCATTTCCACTCCTTAAATTTATCAAGCCTTCTGAACCTAATTGTAGTGGTTGGCTGAGGCTTTGGTCTTTGCAAAATGCAGCTTCTATCAATGATGCATCGGATGAAGAGGATGATGATTCTGAATCAGATTCATCCAGCTCCAGTCCCTGTGGCCGTGGCCAATGGAGCATCCAAGGACTGTGGGATTGCCTCTTCAAGTTGTTGAGACAAATCTTTCTTGGCAGGACATCATGTGTGCCAGAAAGCCTTTATGCAGATACTGGGGGTTGGGCGAGATCGCCTAATCAGGACAAATCGCTGTTTCCAAGGAAAGGATTTCCGCTCTTGTGGAGTTTTGGCTAAAGTCAATGAGTCTAGCGTTGGTGCCAAAGTCCTTGTTGCATTTTTCATGCAGAAGTTTCAGTTTCATGGCACTGTGAAAGAAATCTCACTTGTCTCCAAGGGAGAGGGCAACAATCTACTCCAGCACAAGCATCAGTGCTTCATTTCTTGCAAAAGACCTACCACCGTATTGCTGAGCCACTTCCACATGAGCTGCTCGATTATATAATATCAATAAGATTCATGCATGTGTGCTCCAACCAAGACTTGTCACTTGTCCACCAGAAGAATGATTCTCCTTAGGATGAAGTTTGATCCGCGAGAGCAATTTGCATCAAATGAAGAAGACCGGCACAAACTGGTGAACATATTGATCGAGCACTCCTTTGCAGTGCACCCTTTGCAACATCCTGGCCCTGAGGGATTGCCCAGGAAATTCCTCCCACCTGGGGCATACAGTGATCTGTACCGCCTCTTTGTGCTGAGAGATATGCCTGTTCACAACCTGTGGCTTCAAGCACCACATTCTATCGGACACTGCGTGAATCGAAGTGGTCTGACAAGATTAGGTTCCGTGGCCGAACTCAGCATGCACAGTGTGCTAGGTGCCATGCTTTGAAGGCCAGAATCCGTCAAAGTGTGAACTTGCATGATCATGCATTGGCATGTGATGCATACATGCACCACCTCTCCGGTGTCTACGCAGATCGGTCAGTGTATGACCAATCGAAGGTTCGTGCAGTTCAGGAGAGAGACGTGCTCCTTTGCACAATCGACTCCATGGACAAAAGCAAGTTTGCTTTACCAAGATTTTCAATGGGTATAGTCCCCAAGGGAATCGAAAACAAGCAGAGACCTCAATGTGAACTTACAGCAGTCATCCTCCATGGAAGATGCCTCGCTGTGTATGTTGGTGATTGTGATTCCACCTCTGGAAGTGATTGGAGCATGGAAATGCTTGCACGCACTCTGGAGAAGGGATTCTCCAAAGCACAGGCAGCCGGGGAAGCATGGCCACGGTGCCTGCGCATATTCTCAGACAACACTCCAAAGGACATTCCATGGAATGAATATTGAATGCTGACATATTTAAATTTGCAGATACATTTAATTGTGGGATGAAAGCTCACACCTTGCCAGGAGATTAGAAACTCCAACATTGCCCGCTGGTGCTGCCATTTGGCCACCACCCGTGCGTATGATCACATTGCCCACGAGCATCTAGAAGTTGGACACACACATTCTGATATTGGTGACTTGTCAGCAGACACTGTGCATTATGTTCCCTACATGATACATTGCTCTTCCTGGGCACTGAGACGCCTTCTTTGGATTGATCTCAAAACTGATCCGACATGGAGATGAAGCTATGTGACTTGCTTGCATTCTTCTTAGTCTTAGTGTCTTTCATTCCCATGGAAGCAGTGAGCAAGGCAAGAGCCGCAAGACATTGTGAGGCCAGGACTGCTACAAAAAAACACTGTGTGATAGCAAACAGTGTGATTCTTCAGTGGCTCAATCACCAGGTGGCTCAATCAGCGACTGAAAGGACACTTTGCAAAGGTGGGTGTTGAATATGTCACAGCTATCCGCAATTGGGTGGACTCTTTGGAGAACCTGGCTACCACATCAGGGGCTTATCGAAAGAGAAAGTTGAATGTTGACCAGTTGGAGATGCCCCATTCTTTCACATTTGTCAGGCGTGACTGCAGCTAGGATTATGTCATTTGGAGCAGCTTCCTCTCATTTGGACACGGTCCCACACCAACCAAATTAAACTGAGGTATGCCACCAAACCTGCTTCAGAGAACATCCAACCGATTGCCAGCTCGCTTCCGGGAATCCAGCAACGATGTCTTCCTGCTGATCAAGGCGTACGTGAGTGACAATGAAGTATGCCAAGAGCCCCTGGTCATTTGGCCTGGTGATAAAGCCCAGTGCTGCAGCGATGCTTTGGCCCGATTGGCAACAGACCAAGTTCCTGGTTACCGGGTTGCAATGAGGGCTGCTATGTTGCATACTGTTTTTGCCAGAGTAATTGGGGAGTTCCTTTTTGTCGATCTTTTTGGAATTGAAGCTGGTTGCCACCCAGGAGTTGCTACATACTTGGACGATGACCGCAAAGAAGTGCTGATGGATATTGCCACCTATTTGCAGCGAAACTACTCCAATCTTGGTAGAGGCATTGCTTATTTGGAACGGCTTGCAGGTCGCACAGCCTTTGTAAGGGAAAGGCCACCGACTTTGCAAGGTCTTTTGATGCTTGTGAACAGGGTAGGTGTTTTGAGGGGGGCAGTTGTATTTGGCAACCCTGCCCCCCATACCTTGCACCGCATGAGGGTTACATTCCACCGCTGAACAGCTGAGCGGGTTACATTCCAGCACTGAACAGCTGATTGGGGTCGCTGGTGGGAAACATTGCCATTGCAGTGCACAGTAGTTTCATGAAACTCTTCAAATTGCAGTTTGTTACAGAACGTCGATTTGTCTTGTTTGCCTCAACCTGCAGCAGTTCTTTCCTAGTAACCTGTGCTTGGCCTGTTCACATGGCGGCTGAACCAGTGAAGACGGAGGCAGAAAGGGATGATAGTGTTCCTTGGCTGCATGACCTGCACAGAATCTGCACAGAAGGGGCTTCAACCTTCCTCAACTCATTCTATGTTTTAAGGGTGATCCTGAACTTGACCATACTACTCCCAGCCTGAAGAAGAAGATTCTCCAAAGGATCGATGAGGCACATGAGATGCTTTGAGTAGTTGATAATTGATAGTCTCAAGATGTTTCAAGAAACATATTTTTTTGTTTCATTTTGCCTGCTCAGATCTCTTCAGAGATGAACATTGGTCAGTGGTTTTGGAACACCTATGGATCAGAAGAGAAGCAAGCGAAGCTCACCAACGAGTCTTTGCTTGCAATCACATTATTCATAATGCAAATGTCCAAACATGAAACCTCAAATGACTTGAGGACATGGGGGAGATATTTGCCCATCCGTCAGTTGCCAAGCACATTGAAATGCAAACTGTCATTCGGTGTGCCCCTGCTACAACCAAAAAGGGATTCTTCCTTGCCCCTTGGCACTTCGACTTTTCGGAGCACGCCAAATTTGGTGAAGTGGGCCGCTATCCAAGCAACTATCAATTTAAGTCTCATCTCCCGTCATTCCTGGACAATGGCCTTGAGACACATCGTGAATCAATCGAAGTCAAGTTTCCAGGACGCCCATGTGATGATGCAGACACTTGCAAGATACTACCTTTCTCAGTTGGCTTTGTCGATGGCCAGAACAAAGTGCTGATAGTTCAGACAATCTTGGCGCTGGCCTTTTCACTCGCTGCTTGTCGAGTCTTTTCTTGCTCAAACAAGGATTTGTCAATTGTGCATTTAATAACTGTGTCTGCCTCTGACACCAAGGCTGTACCTGAGGAGTTGGAGGAAGATGAACATGCTTGCAAAGTGCTGGCATGCATGAGATTTCTTCGCTGCAACTTCAAGAAGCATGAGGCAGAAGAGCATTTTCTGTATGAGTCTCTCTGTGGGGTACTCAGTAGATGCTCTCTTGAGTTTTGGTTTTCCTTTTTTTGCTTTATTATGTTGTTGTCTAGTAATCTTCACATGTGCCAAGGTCTGGCAAACAGAACTGCAGAAAAGTCGAAACCGAGTGCTCTTGACCTCACGCTACTCTTCAAGGAGAGTGTCAGATTGAAGCAAACACATGGGACAGCGAAGTCCCACTCAATCCGGGATACTTTGTACCTGTGCATCCAAGAATACAACAAGCAGGTTGGTGGACATCGAGCAACTTGGTCATTTATTCTGAAGCTGAATGCTCACAGCCAATGATGTGCATCATGACAGTTTTGTTGAGGCATGGAGAATTTCAGATCCTCTTCGCCGCCTCATTTACAACCTTCTGAGATGCCCACGAGAGCTTTGGGAAATGTTGAAGGACATGTACAACAACAGCAAGCCGGAGCATGCAGGTATCTTGGAATCATTATGTCAACCATGAGAGAATATTGTCATAATTACTTCAAGAGTGTTTTGATCTGTCAACAAACCTGCCAGCTATGACTTTGGAGAATCTCGATGGAGACTTTTACGTCCCGGGGACAGTCTTGGACACCAGCGACACTATTTGGAAGGAAATTCAGGCAAAGGGTTCAGAAGGTGTCAGAGTGATACAGTTCCTGTGTGGACAATGAGTTCCATTCTCAGTTCTAGTTACTTAGTCTTTTGCTTTGTTTGGCAGACCGTCACCGATGATGCTGTGGATGTTTAGGCAAACCGGGTCTCCAAAGACTTTGCCAAGAAGGTTGGGAAGGATGCCACTGTCAAGCAAAAGGCCAGATTTGGGGTCAGGGATAGGGCATTGCTTCTAAACAAAGTGCCTTTGAACAGAAAACCCTGTGCAGAAGTTGGCTCAACGTGATGCTGGCCAATTGCAAGAGCTCCTTCAGATCTCCTGTTTGATGACATGGATGGCGCCGAAGCTGCAGCTTTATTTGGGTGATTCACCTGCTCTGCACAAGATCAAGGATATGTGGCTGATGGGGTGCCTTGGACATCACCAAACTGCAAAATACAAGAAAAACCATGTATTTTTTGGCTTCCAGCCAAATCCCTCAAACGTGCGGTGGAATTTAGATTCCGCAGCATTGGCACCTTTAGAATTTTTTTTTTGGGTGATTCCTGGACTCTTCCCAAAAATGGAAAGGAATCGCCACATCCTCCAAAACCTGCCATTTGTGCGGTGGAATTTAAATTCCGCAGTACTTTGAAGGACTCAGCTCAAAGCCTCCAGAGTGCATGGTTTTTGCTCTGAGTTGCAGAATTTGGGGGAGACACAAATTGTTAGTTTCAAGCTGATTTGTGCGGTGGTTTTTAAAAACCGCACTACTCCTAGCCGGGGTGCAGGAAAAACCGCAGCACACATTTCCACATTGCAGGAAAAACCGCAACACTCACATCCAATGTGCAAGAAAAACCGCAACACTCACATCCGATGTGCAAGAAAAACCGCAACACTCACATCCAATGTGCAAGACAAACCGCAACACTCACATCCAATGTGCAAGAAAAAAACCGCAACACTTACAGCCGGCTCAATCTGATGTGCAAAAAAACCAACACTGACTCCTGTCCTGCAAGATACTTTTTCCAACAGAAGCCTTTGACTAAAAGAAAACAACAAAAACATTGTGGCAATGTCCTTTTTTTGGTAGGCAAATTTAAATCTAAACACATACAGCAAAATCTGCCATTGACAAAGTTGTATTTCTAGCACAAATTCCATCCAAACTACATAAATAAATATTGGAACCACAGTACTTCTGAAAAAAACAAACAAACAAACAAACAAACAGCAAATCAAGGTGGACACCTTCTGCAAATTGTGAGCCTTGTGTGCCATATTGCTGAATCCACTTACATTTCACTGCTGGATAGTTTGTAAACTGTCACAATTCATGGGCGGGCAAGGCTGTGGAAGTGTAGGAACCAATCTTGGGTTGGCTGAGTATACCATGGTAGTGGTGGGTAATTTGAGTTGGGGGGTGGGAACCATAGTGGAGCTTTAGATGATTAGCAGAGTCCAGGGCAGGTGGTAGTAGAACAAATTTTCTCAAATCTGTTAGCGTTCATTGTTGCTTAATAAAGAAAACACGAATAGCCAGGCTAAAAGGACTCCTCAAAAGCTAATGATTCTAATGTCTGAGCTGCTAAATGCCAAACACATCCAGTGAGGGAGAGTTGAGCATTTATTGCAGAAAAAACATCATATTACTGCAATTAATATGTATCAATGAAATTAAATTTCAGGAGGTTAATGGATTTGTATTTAATGATAACAGATTTAAAGCAAATTACAAAATGTCAAGATGCTTCGGATGTTAATGATGAAGCTACATGTTGGTCTAAAATTGCTGGTTGGAAGGCTCTTGGACTGGTGGAATTGGGGCCTTAAATTTGAATGGTCTTGCAATCCCTAAATGTAACTAATATTAAATAATTGCTAATATTAACTAGTTCTTTGCACCTTCAGAAGTGGAGAGCAGTTCGATCTCTGTAAGGATGAATACAGCTTCTCTGCTTTCTGATTGATGGAGCGCTGGTGGATGAACACATGTCTTTCTTCAGCTGTGCTGAATAGTCACACAAAGGCTTTTCAACAAAGTGTGAGATGTTGAGGGACAATATTTCTTTGCAATATGTATCATTAGATGACTTCCAACACTGCATTTTACATTGAATGATGTTCAACCTTGTGCATTTCAATTCTGACTAAGGGCGCTGGATGGTGAACTGCGCGTACAAGTGAAAGGGAAGGACCCCAGTTTTGACTTCAAGAAGCTGTCCTTTGTGGCAGAGGCAGCTGGCGTGCTCCAAGAGCAGCATATTGCCGATGCCCAAAGCAGTGTGCACAACGCCAGGAAGCAGTCGTTGCAGGCAGCCTGGAAGCTTTTTGCCACGTCCGTGTCCAATGACCAGGTGGTCCATCAACGGCACAAAGCTGCATTGGATCTTTCGAGCACAAGGCACAAGGGCACGGTCAGTTCTTGTTTCAAGCCTGGAGGCCAGTGAATGTTGTTTTGAATGTTTGTGATCAGAAGTCTGGTTTAGTGTTGTGTGTGATCAGCAGTCTGCACCTGTCAGAAATCACACGAGACGGCTTGGAACCTTGTGAATGAATATGCCTCCGAAACCCTGCCCACATGGAATGTTGGTGCAAAGCGGACAGTGCAAGGACTTAAATTGCATGGGAACAAATTGAAGAGAGGCACTCAGATTCTTTGTTCAAGTGTCAATCTGGCCATCACACCAGGAGTTGAAGCAGAAGGGGAAGCCACGACCTATGCTGCCAAGTGTCAGCCCTGGTTGCGCAGCACCATGGAGGGATTTGGTGGGGGAATCCGCCGGGCAGACAGCGAACGCATCATTGGCTGGCTAAACTATGCTGCTGCCGGTGTAGTTTCAGCCACCAAACTTTTGTTCACCGTGGAGCAGGTGACAGCAATGGCACATTCCCACCCGAAGACCTTCGCAGCCATAGTCCTGTATCCAAACAGGGCTGGTGACCTTCGAACAAGCCCAAAGAACCTTTGCTGATTGTTTGCTGAACTGCATTGTGTTTCAGGAAGGTGAACTTAACCCTGTCATTGCTTGACTTTTGAGGAAGGATGCAAAGATGGAGGATGACTCTGAGGGTGAGGCTGAGATGAAGAAGACTTCAGGAGACACCCTCAGTTTGTACAAATAATTTTCAAGTGTAGCATGTGCTTGAATTGCAGGAAGTGACCTTGAAGGTGATGAAGAGATTGATGATGGACCTGGCAAGGGCTCCACTGCTGACTTCTTGCTGCGGGATTTTCGCTACAAGATCCAGTGTGCCTTCATGGAATCAGACCGCAACTTGAGAGTCTTGAGCTCATTTTGCTTAGTTCGAAAGTCAGCTTGCCGGTTAGGAGTTTTGGGGGTTTCCTTTCTGCTTGGTTACCAAACCTGAGGTCAAGCCCGTGACCATTGTGTTCAATGAGGACAGCATTTACGGCAACCGAGATGGAAGCTACCAAGGATTTGTGGTGACATCCAGAGACCGCTCCAACGTCTTCTTGAAGAGTCCACTCTTCAAAACCGGGGTGGTCACTGGAGTGAACATGTTGAGCCGGAATGAGATGTTGAAGGTTGAGAAGACCAACAAGATCTTTGGCACTGACAGCCGACTGACACGGGTCAAGAACTCAAGCAGGCTTGACAAAGCAGCACTTCATGTTCTTCCTGTCAAGTGTTTGGGGCAGTTCAGGAAATTTCATGTTTTTCAAATTCAAAACCTCATGCCCTGTCAGCACCTGGCTGGATCCAGCTTGGTTGAGCGTGTGATGAGCATGCTGCTGGGTAATGATGGTGGCACAGTAACTTACAATGTCATATTGGACTTGCTTGGCTATGATGCATGGCCGGCGATAGTTGCTTTGGGAAAGGGAGTTGCAGGCTTCTAAGCATCAAATAATTTGAAATGTCTTTGAGAATTACAGTCAATGTCATGTGTGTCCTTTTTCAAGCAGCTTTTTGTAGTTTTGCCTTTGGAGGCCAACATTGGGCATGTGGCACTGCTTGCCATTCGCAGTATGAGTGCGACTACGTGGCAGCAACTGTGGCTCAAGGGCTTTCCCAACTTTCAAGCAATTGCAGGAGAGCTTCAAAATGCAGCAGACATGCCGGCTCCTAAGTATGAAGTGTGCCTGCCCCTGCCCAATGGTGACCTGGCCATCCAGCAGTCGTTGATCGACCTTTGGACAACAAAACGCGCAATGTTTGAGCGTGAAACTTCGGAGCTGGTGGCCCAGCACAATGAGAAGTACAACCCTCGTGGAATCAAGCGAGGGCTGGACAGTGCAGAAGGGCCTGAAACCTCGGGACAACAGCCAGAAACCAAGAAGATCCGCATTGAAGAGTCCATGAAGACAAGTGAGCATGAAGCCAACATTGCAGACAAGCAACTTGAAAGCACTGGGAACAACTTCAACCACTGTTTAGACATTGAACATGTGTTAGATGTTGGATGATGATTGGACAATTTATCATTGCTCAGTACAGCGAATTGCATGCAGGATGGTTTTGCCATGTGGGAATTTCAAGCTGATCTATGACAAGGAGGCGGATCAACTTTGGCCTTGCACAGATGACAAGAAAGGCAAGTCCACAGCCGTTGGACCTGCTGAATTGTTCAGCTTTGGGTCTGGTGGCTTTGCTTCGGGCCCTGAAGCCACAGATGTGATGTCAGACAGCAGTGGCCGGTGGATCAACTTTGCCCTGCAGTCCGACAAGGACTTGTGCATTGTGGAGGCAGATCGTCGGCTTTCAGAGCACATCAAGAAGGCTGATATCTTTGGCACAGTTTCTTGTTTCTCACTATCCATCACAGTTTGTTTGTCGTCTGTTTGATACTTTTGTAACTTTAGGACCACTTCAATGCGTTCAATGGGTTGTTGTGCTCTTCAGGTTCCTGCATCCATGCAATAGTTTTGCTTCTCGTAAGGTGGTGACCTTTGGCCATGTCCTGAACACGCTCCAGAATCTTGGTGAGGTCAACATCAAAATATCCATGCATGTCTCTGATGTGCAGGAAGCTGGTGGTATTCTATTTCGACGTGAACAGCCGGTGTGCTTCTGCTTGGATCCACTGAAGGATGACAAAAAGAAGAAGGCTAGCCAGCATTTCACATTGAAGTCATTCCGGTGTATTTCACATTCCAGTTTTGTCACATTCCAGTTATTGCTGTTTTATTGTGCTTAGGCTGGCCACACTGGCCACACTGCTACCTTTGGGGCGCGGATGAATTGTGCAAAGATGCGCTCTAGTGATGCACTGAAGATCATCTGGAGGGTCAGGCAGATGGTGTCCAAAATATGATATTTTAGTGAGATTGTGAGATTTGACTCTGACTGCTGTTGTCTGCAAATGTCAAGTCTGAGAGGCTGCAGCCAGATCAGCAAGACAACAGCAGAAAGGATGTGGTGCCGATCCGTCCTGTGGTGTACTTGCCGGGAACTGTAGAGTTGGAAGCTGACAAGATGTATCGACTTGTCTAGAGGCATTGCACCTTCTCCCAGACCCAATGGACCTTGACACTGGAGTTTGGCCAAGCTGTTAGAAGCTACTGTCAAGTTTCCATGTAGCGTTTTGCAACTTTGGTTTAAGGCTTTCAACCCTTGTGCAACAAAACCTTGTGTGCAAACAGTCAATGCCTAGGGTATTTTCAATCGTATGCTCGGCTTCATGTGGTGCACTGTGCGTCTACCAGTGCAGGGGGATAGCCGAGTTTTGGGGTGACAACACCCTGACTGAAGCAGAAGCGGTGCTTGAGGACAAAAACCATTGACTCAAAGATAATCTAATAGCTTCTTGTAATGTTCCACTTCAAGTTGGTTTGATAGAGTTTGTGTTTGTTCACAAGCTACATTGTGCAGTTCATATGGCTCTTGTGGGACAATCATCTTTGACGTCAATGTCGAATTCCAACATGAGCCCAGATGGATCTAGTACCTTCACAGGGGCCAGGGGCAATGCTATTGTGCGCCAGCAGTTTGACATTTCCAACTATCAAGAGCCTTAGCAACAAAACACATTAGATTCAGAAACATGCAGCAGTTTCCAAAAAAGACTTCTAAGAGTGCATTTGGGTTGGAATCAACCAAGGATTTGATGGGCAGCGCTCTAGCCCAAACCTTGGGTACTGCTACTGGATCGTCGAACACAAGGCCTTCGCAGACATCTCAGTCCAAGGCAAGTCCGCCAAGCCCCCTGGAAGCAAAGAGGAGTGGTTGTTACATCCTGACATTGTGCCATTGATGATTTGGTGCAATTCAGCCTTTTTGGAACAACCACTAGGATGCAACAACCTGCTTCAGAAGTTTCTGTTGGTTCCTGCTAGGCACCCTGCTTCAGCGATTCACTGCCAAAAGCTCATCTGAATCAAAAGATGAGGATGATGGCAGTGGAGACAATCCCAGTGAGAAAAAGGCCACCAAGTCGAAGTTAAAGGATGATGAGAAAAAAGATGATAAGAAAAAAACAAAGACTGAGGCAAAGTTGAAGGACAAAGACAGTGACAAAAAGAAAAAGGAGAAGAAGGACAACAAGTGGCAAGGAATGTTTGATGACTTGGAGCGTGACGATCATGAGGGTCCTGAACCTGACCCTGACCATGATGAGAGTGCTGGTGTGCCAGCTGCCAAGAGGCCAGCTTCTCAAAGAGTCCTCAAAGACAAGTCAAAAGGAAGCAAGGAGTCCCAGAAGCCGAAGAAGCAGCGAAAAGGAAAGGAACGTGGCAATGATACAGACATGTTTGAGGCCAGCCAGAGACATTTCCAAAACTTGTGATACTTGTGCATGTTTGGTAAAGGTTCACAGTGCTTTTTGAATTTGTGAATGCTACAGGAGGATTGTGATGGTGGCAGTGGCACCGACAACAAGATGACAGTGGCCGAGATTATGGACCAGCTAGACAAGACTGACAATGCCAAGACTCAAGCTACCTGTTTTTTGAATGGGTTTTTGACATGATACTCATTGCACTAGGCAGTGGAATGCAGTGGGTGTGATTTGACCTCAACACCTCCAAGCCAACATGGTTTGCCCTCAGGTCAGCGAAGAATACATCATGACTTGCATTGGCTTCAAGTCAGAGATGTCAGACGAGGTTTGCCGGATCTACTGGGACCAAGAGCGTGAAATCTGGCTTGACCACATCCCGCCAGGGAAAGAGCATTTGCCTTTGCAGGCTTGAACCTATATACTATTGTATACAGTATATAAATTGTCTTTGCTGACAACTCTCTGTTTGTTCCACATGGCTTGGATGTGACTGGGTAGGAGCTCATTGATGGATTTGAAATCCAGAACAGTGACAAACCTGATGAGCCTGGGATGCGAGAACAAGATCCTTATACTTATTTTGCAGAAGGTGTTGATGTGACCACTACAAATGAATCAAAAGACTCAGCAAATGGTGACCAGGCCACTTTGTGTGTGAAGAACTTGCACACATTTTGGAACAAACGAAAAACCTAAACAGTTATTATTATGTTTGGGATGTTCTGCTCAGGCTGCGGATCTGACTGTGGTGGCAAGTTCTGGCAATAACTTTGTCAGGCAGAATGCCACAGAAGATCTTGGGAGCATTGAGATTCCGTCACCTGTGCGCTCAGGGTCACCAACATTGATCTTGGGCCAAGCCTCTTAGTCTGAGTGGCATTCATTGCACTGCATTTTGGTTGAACACGTGACCTTGTGAATGCATCCTTGAATTGACTTACCCAGGAAGATGTCGCACAATATGGGGCATTGAGCGGAGAGGAAATCGAAGAAATTGAGGCCTTTTAGATGGTCAAATTGACAAACTTTGAATCTTTTGTATTGTGCAATGTTTGCTTTGGAAACACAGCTCCAAGTTGACCTTCACAGGAAAATGCGGGTGGATTTGAAGCACCCACACCTGAGCCAAAAAGCCGTCCAAAGACGAAGAAGTCTCAGCCAAAAGAGAAGAAGAGCCAGGCCAGCCCAAAAGCACAGGCCAAAAAGAAGAGTGGCAAGACATCAACAGCAAAAGCCAAGGCAAAGGCCAAGTCTAAAGTCAAGGCAGCACAAGAAACAGATGAATTGAAGAAGAACTTGAAGAACATTGGCATCAACGCGTGGAAAGACCCCACACGCCACCGTCTCTACAGCTCAGTCTATCGCTACCTGACAGCTCGCGGGAAGTCCAAGGAAGATGCTGCCAAGATGGCGAGGGAAGAGTGTGATCGCCGTGGGTTGCATGCCAATGCCAAAACGGCAGAGTCACAAGGGGCATGAAGTTTTCTTAGCATTATATAATGCTGACTGAAATCTTGGCTCGGCCTTCAATGAAGCAAGACTGTTCAATGCAGGTACTACATCCAAACAACTTTTGTTTAAAGTGTTGAGCCAACCCTAGTTTCAAAAGCCAGATACAAGACGGGGTACCTTGTCTGGAAAAGAGTCCATTTGCAAGTGCTTGGCATGGACGATGAGACAAATGAACGGTGTGAAACGGAGGTGAAATGTATGATCTTACAAATTAAGGGTGAGTCCACATTATGTATTATGCATAGCAATATATCTCCCACACAGGAAACCCAAGGTCCTACTTTCATTTGGTTAAAGTCCTACTTGCTCTGACATAGTCTTATATATATATATACTTATATATATATATATGTGTGAATATCCAGAGTGAGTAGGCCAGTCCAGGCATGTTTTGCCCGGGGCCATACCTCGACCTTCGAACACAATGAATCCTTCTTAAATCCATGTGGACAGATTTTCCGAAGCAGGTGTCGTTCGCTTCCAACAATACGGAGCCGATGGAGGACATCTACCAGGCATTCCGGCTCGTGGACGTGCGTTTTAGCGCAGGGGAAGATGCCGGGCGGCTGGGAGAGGGTGGGCCGGCCCGATGGATGGACGAAATGCGACCAAGAGCGAATGCTCGCCTCACCAAGTTGCGGATGCACAGGAGGAAACAAAACACACATTTAATAGAGGATTGTAGAATAGACGATCCATTCTGTCCGTGGCACTGCTTGTTTAGAAGCAGCAGCAGCAGCAGCCTACTACAAGATGTCTTGCATCTTAATGGTTGGTCGGGCGACTGATTTCATCAGTGCCGAGAGTCTGTGGAGGAAAAGAGGGACCACGCACGCTTGGCCACATTGATCGGGAATCCATGTACTACGCCATTATATCTTAGTGCACGGTGATGTAATCTGACACACTGATGATATATGATATATATATATATACACGGGCTCTTCTCCGACAAACACGTCAAGATAGCTCAAATGTTCTTATCATATTTTCGGGATTTGTGTATGAACACGATAATAAAGCATACATCAGTCCCGGGACCGTTTCAGCAGTATCCAGTACCATGGCAGTGCATGGTTCCCACAAGGCCTGCTATGCCGCTTTTTCTTGTCAGGTCTCGCGGGGCTCCAACAGCGATGATTCAGATTACGAGTCCTACGGAGGCGGCCTCAGGGCGGCGGGAGAGGTGCAGACGGCCGCAGAGGCGCTTGAAATACAACTGAAGACCTCCATGCTGAAAGGCACACCCAGATGGTAGGCCAGTGGGGGCCAAGCGTCGAGGGCCTTTTCTGGATTACATTCTGCACTCCGCTGAGTCAACATCAAGCCACAAATGCATCATGCAGTGCTTCCCAGTCGCCAACATGTTTTGCTCGAATCAGGTTGTCAGGAAAGGGTGAGTTCATTTAGAACCAAAGAGTCTTCGTGCGTTGTGCTCATGGGCTAAGCCCCTATCTTCTTGACCTTGGACATCCTTGGACTAAGAGGGATCGGACCAATCACCGGGTCATTGGGATGGACGATGTCAACTCACAAGCCTTTGGACTAGCGGATCTCTACATCCGCGGGAGGCGGCACGAGACGGAAGCGGCGGCAAAGCTCTTTAGCTTCGCCCGCCACAACAGCCCTACTGCTGAAGAATCGTGAGAACCTTCGCGAATATCAGGCAGATGAGTCTTGGCATGAGATGATGTAAGGTTGGGGCATGTCACCAATGCATGTAGCGACCAAAACCTCCCAGTTTTAAGAGATGCTAATGAAGATGCTTTAGCAAAAGGGTGCAAAAGGCAACACACGGTCGCGAAAGCTTTTGCACATGTTTCAATAGCGATATCAGCAGACATTCATACCCAGAATGACGTGCTGCATGTAAGATCAATGTAAGTAGAACATCCCATGGTTCATGT